TATAAGACACTCTTAAGAAAAATTAAAGAAGGCACTAACAAATGGAAACTAATCCCATGTTCTTGGGTAGGAAGAATTAATATTGTCAAAATGGTCAATCCACAGATTCAATGCAATCCCTATCAAAATATCAACAGCATTCTTCAACTAACTGGAACAAATAGTTCTAAAATTCATATGGCAAAGAGAAGAGAAGTAGTGATTTTACAGCATCTTACTATGCAGATGGACAGTGACTGTGAAGGGGTATGTGGGGGGGGGACTTGGTGAAGGGGGGAGCCTAGTAAACATAATGTTCTTCATGTAATCGTAGATTAAAGATGCCAAAATAAAAAAAATAAAATAAATAAATTCATATGGAACCACAAAAGACCCCATATAGCCAAAGAAATCCTGAGAAGGAAGAATAAAGTAGGGGGGATCTAGCTTCCCAACTTCAAGCTCTACTACAAAGCTGCAGTAATCAAGACAATTTGGTACTGGCACAAGAATAGACCCAGAGACCATTGGAACAGAATAGAGAGGCCAGATATTAACACAAGCATATATGGTCAATTAATATACAATAAAGGAGCCATGGATATACAATGGGGAAGTGACAGACTCTTCAACAGCTGGTGTTGTCAAAACTGGACAGCTATATGTAAGAGAATGAAACTGGATCATTGTCTAACCCCATACACAAAAGTAAATTCAAAATGGATCAAAGACCTGAATGTAAGTCATGAAACCATAAAACTCTTAGAAAAAAACATAGGCAAAAATCTCTTGGGCAGAAACATGAGGAACTTCTTCATGAACATATCTCCTTGGGCAAGGGAAACAAAAGCAAAAATGAACAAGTGGAACTATATCAAACTAAAAAGCTTCTGTACAGCTCAGAACACCATCAATAGAACAAAAAGGCATCCTACAGTATGGGAGAATATATTCATAAATGACACATCCAATAAAGGGTTGACATCCAAAATATATAAAGAGCTCATGCACCTCAACAAACAAAAAGCATATAAGCCAATTAAAAAATGGACAGAGGATCTGAACAGACACTTCTCCAAAGAAGAAATTCAGATGGCCAACAGACATGAAAATATGCTCCACATCACTAGTTATCAGAGAAATGCAAATTAAAGCCACAAGGAGATATCACCTCACACCAGTAAGGATGGCCACCATTCAAAAGACAAACAACAACAAATGTTGGCAAGGATGTGGAGAATGGGGAACCCTCCTACACTGCTGGTGGGAATGTAAATTAGCTCAACCATTGCAGAAAGCAGTATGGAGGTTCCTCAAAAAACTCAAAATAGAAATACCATTTGACCCAGGAATTCCACTCCTAAGAATTTACCCTAAGAATGCAGCATCTCAGTTTGAAAATGACACATACACCCCTATGTTTATCACAGCACTATTTACAATAGCCATGAAATGGAAACAACCTAAGTGTCCATTAGTAGATGAATGGATAAAGAAGATGTGGTACATATACAGAATAGAATATTATTCAGCCATAAGAAGAAAACAAATCCTACCATTTGCAACATGGATGAAGCTAGAGGGTATTATGCTCAGTGAAATAAGCCAGGCAGAGAAAGACAAGTATGATATGATTTCACTCATGTGGAGTATAAAAACAAAGAAAAAAACTGAAGGAACAAAACAGCAGCAGACTCACAAAACCCAAGAATGGACTAACAGTTACCAAAGGGAAAGGGATTGGGGAGGATGGGTCAGAAGGGAGGGACAAGGGGGAAAAGGGGACATTATGATTAGGAGACATAATGTAGGGGGGGTCACAGGGAGGGCTGTACAACACAGAGAAGACAAGTAGTGATTTTACAACATCTTACTACGCTGATGGACAGTGACTGTAATGGGGTATGTGGTGGGGACTTGATGATCAAGGGAGTCTAGTCACAATAATGTTGCTCATGTAATGGTAGATTAATGATACGAAAATTTTAAAAAAATTAATTGTGCATCAACCTTGTGTCCCACAGTGTACTTGGTGCAAGGGAGAGAGGTAGAAACTATGATTATGCTCTCAGAGGGTTTACAGATTGACTGGGGATATAGACATAAACTGGATTTTATGTCACAAGAACTGGGTTACCACTGGCAGTGTGGCCTTGTGCCTGTCACAGTCATGCTAAACCTCATTCCTGATCTGTACAATGGGGAGACCACAGTCCACTTCACATGGTTAATGATTAAATGAGATATGAACACAAACGTCTTCTAAAACTACAGGACCCTACATGAGGTACTGTACTATTTTTTAAGAGAGGTGATAATACAGGGATCATAAAATGACTAAAGAGGACATGTGACAGTTCTAACCCAAAAGGTTAACAGGGAACATAGAATCACTTTTCTGTGTTCCAGACATATGGATCACTACAGAATTTCTTTTTGCTGCTGTTTCCTATTCTGAGGGAATAAAGTTTGCTGGAAAAACAGCCTTGCCCCTGCTGCACTGTTACTGCCTTAGCTCCCCATGATGCATACACAAAAACCAAACCCAACAACTTAAAGAGCACAGTGCAAAGTGGGCCTGCTGACAGAGAAAGGGCTAAGTTAGGCAGGAGAATGGCGACTGAAAATGGAAGGGGGCAAAGATGAAAGTCAATAAGGAGAGAGATAAAAGGTGATGGGAAATTTGAGAGAACAAAGGTCAAATCAGACTGTTCCTCATCTTCCTGAGGTGGAAGAGCTTTAAGGTTGAGCCTTGGGAAGAAGTAGAGGAATGTTTTCAAATATATGCAATTTCATTACAAACACCACAGTGACCCATTGCTCTGTATCTCTGATAAAGGCAGAACAGGAGAAAATGGGCTTAAGTTGGAGTGAGTCAGATGGTACCTCAGGTCCCTCCTACATCTCCAACAACAATGTGTGTGAACACTTAACAATGTGTCTTACACCAGGAACCAATTACAACTGAGCTTTAAGAGACTGGCAAAACTTTTTCATTTTTGCCAGTTTTCATTTAAATCTAGTGTTCTGTGATAGGTGAGAATGAAAGGCCACAACACATATATCAGAAATAATACAATCGCTAAATATCACAATTTTGATTTTTAAAAAAGGCTTCAATGGCAACCAACTTTTAAATGATAAAGTCTGAGCCTCCTGGTTTGAATTTACAGACCCCATAAAATGGCCCCAACTGACCTTCACATTCCTCCCATGCACTCTTTACCTAAACAAACCCTACCCACCAGATATGCTGGTTGACTTACTATCTCTTGACAATACCTGCACAGGAGGAGGGGATGCAGATAGCCAAGGAAATTGATCTTCATTCATTGGTCTCAGGTAACCTGAGGAAATGTGCTGGAGTTATAACTAGTAGGCAGGCAGGCCCTTAGCTAGAGACTCCAGAATATTAGGGCAGGGCTAACAGGATGTAGATAGCTGTTCAGAAGGACAAGGCATGCTTCCTGGAGGCCCAGAGAGCATCCTTGTCCTGATTACACATACCACAGCAGCAGTGCATCCTGTGGGGGCTTAGAGGAGCCCAGGAAACTGTTCCTCTGCCCAGGTGAATGCTGCTGGAGTCCATTCTATGAGCCACCTCATGAGGCTTTTTAAGCATTGACTTCCACTAAAAAATCTTATATCCCATGACTGCTGGTACCTTTCTGCCAATCATCATCACCATCCTGACAACTACTCACCTCCATTCGTCACTATCCCTGTCCAGTAAAAGTGAAATGAAATCAGTTTCAGCAGATGTACGTTTATCATCTCACAGGTTCATGGGAATGCGTATCCCATTTCTGCTCCACTGCAAATCCTGTCATCCTTCAAGGCTCCCCACTCCAGAAACCTCCCAATTCTCAGGACTATCCCTACTGCCTCTCAACTACTTCACATAAACAAAACATTTGGGGCTTCATGTGGTAGTAGTTTTTTGTAACTGAAGAAATATGATAGAACCATCAGCCTAATAAGTAGAGAAATATCAAGTTCTATTTATGGTACAATGGGCAAATATAGTAAGTAATTTGAGCCTTATATATTTTATTTATTTATATCCTTTTAATGTTCTCATATCATTTATTACATGAACCATTTATTCTATGCTTACTGTCAAAATATCAATATTCACAGATTACCAGTGTGGTGACTGATAAACCACAACTGTGGTAAATCATGAACTCTCTTAAATCATATGCATAATTTTGAACATACCTGCATCTTCCAGGGAAGAAAGTCAATAGTTTCCAACAACTTTTGGAGGAAAAAAATGTTTGCAGTCCTCACCACAAAGGCCTAAAACTGTGAAGTTCTAAGTTCTCCTCTTTGAACTTCCCTTTACTTTTGTCTGTTCTCTCCAGTCTATCTGCAGACCCCAGACTTTGTATTCTTTGCATAACCTAAGCTACTGCCAGAGGCCTGCATGGAGCTGAAATATAACCAACAGTTGGGAGGGCTTAAATTGGAAGAGAAGCATGGATATGGAAAGTGAGAGAGACTTGCATGCAGGAAGGTACATTCCAAGTACAGGAAGGAGAGAACCTGTTTAAGCCTAAAGCTGTATTTAAAATGATTGAAATACTGGAGGCAGAGAGGATACTGAAGACAATGTTACCATGGGGAAAGGATAAATTTATAGAAAGCTACCACGTAAATATTTAAAACACATATGACTGTAGAATTAGAAGTGTAGAATAGAGACATGTAGTAGAGGATTTTGGTCAGAAGGTCAGGTGATTTAAATTCTAGATGTTGCTCTGCCTCTGCTGACTCTGGGCAAGTCATTTAAACTCTCTTAGTTTTGGTTTCTTAACTATTAACTGAGGGTGTTGGACAAGAAGATACTAAGATTCAAACATTTTACAATTTCAAATATTTTTAAAAGCTTGTTTAACTACATGGATAGACAAAACATAAGAACCTGAGGATACAGATAAACAAGTTCTTACTAAGATCACACACCCATCAGTGGCCTGCTCCCAAAGTCCTCACTAAACTCACCCTCTGGCACTCACCACTCACTTCTTGAGAGTTCTTTTGGGACAGGTCTGGAGGTTCACACTTCAAGGTAGTTATCCTGGGCAGGACCTGAAGGCTCTGACTTTCCAAAGAGGTTCCTTGAGATTCTGCCACCTGTAGGCTCATGTCCTGTCCCTGAGTGTAGACAGAGGCCTGGGGACAAAATATTTACCTTGAAAAGTCCTCCTGGTAGAAACTAGACTGAATAGCAGTTACAGACAGTCTTAAGGGAACACTGGACAAATCCCATTTACTCCTTTAAAGCAGCAGCCAGTAAGACAGAATAGCAAGGCAGACATTCATTCATTTGGCAAATATGGACCACACACCTACTAAGAGCCAGGCCCTGTTCTACGTGTGGGGGATACAGTGACAAATGAGAAAGACAAGACAGGCAAAGAATCCCTGCCAGAAAAACTAAATAAAACCCAGATGGGCACTTACACTAGAGGGTGGAAGTTTAATAAGGAATAGATAGGTACATTGTCTCAAAACATTTCCCCTATTAATTACAAAGGGGAAAACAGTAATTTTATGATGAAGAAATCTGGCACAACCACCTTAGCCTTATCAGTAATGAGATAACCCATCACCACGTGCCTCCTGACCTACTAAATTGAACACATCACTTCTGTGCTATTCTAGCCAAATGCACAACCAGAATCTTACCATGAGAAAACATAAGACAAACCCAAATTGAGAGGCATTCTATTAAATAACTGGTTTGCACTCCTAAAAAATACCAGTGTCATGACAGACAAAAACTGAGCAACTGTTTCGGATTCAAGGAGACAAAGGAAATGGCAACTAAATGCAACACGCAATGCAGGACTGTGCCCTAGACTGGGGGGAAAACCGCCATAAAGAACACTATTGGAATGATATGACAAAATCTGAACAAGGACTACTGTTCAGATGAAAGAATCATAACAATTTTAATTTCCTGAAACTTGGTAATTGTATTCTGGTTATACAAGAGAATGTCCTTGTTCTTTGGAACATACTAAAGTATCCAGAATTAAAGGGACTTGGTATCTGCAACTAACCCACAAATGGTTCAAGAAAAAAACATGCAAGCTTGCATATGTGTGTGTGTGTGTATAAGTGTGCATACATAAAGAGATACAGAGAGAGACAGTGCTTGCTCACACAGAAGTGGAGCATAGCATGAAACAAATGTTAACAAGTGGGGAATGGGGAAGGATTATTTCAGGTGTTCTCTGTACTGTTCTCCCAATACTTTTATTTTTTAAAAATAAAAAGTTAAAAAGTTAACAAACATTCCTCATTTTTTCTCGACACCACCACACACAGCCTCTTCCTACCTGCTGTTCCGTGTCTCCTGTGTCTTTCTCCAGATTCTCCACTGCAGTCACCACGTCCTCCCCACTCTCCAGATGATATGTCTGCACCCAGGCCTGGAGCTCCTCAGGCAGGATGGTCAGGAACTGCTCCAGCACCAGCAGCTCCAGGATCTGCTCCTTGGTATGTGTCTCTGGCCTCAGCCACTGATGGCAAAGTTCTCGGAGTTGGGCCAGAGCCTCCCGGGGCCCAGTTACTTTCTGGTAGCAGAACTGCCGGAAGTGCAGGCGGCAAATCTCCTGACTGTGGGAGCAGCGCTCATGTGAGCACATCTGCTCACATGCGGGATCTTCCTGCTTCACTCTCGTAAGCTTGTCTCCACTCTCAGAAGAGGGACCTGGCAGAGCTTCATCCATGCTGAGTTTAAAGGCTAGGAAAAGGTTCACTTAGCTGGTGTCTATGCTTCAGAAATGTTTTTCCAAATGTACATCTGAGGCATAAGAACTGGTCAGGAAAGGGGAACCTTCCTACACTGCTGGTGGGAATGTAAGCTAGTTCAACCATTGTGGAAAGCAGTATGGAGGTTCCTAAAAACACTCAAAATAGAAATACCATTTGACCCAGGAATTCCACTCCTAGGAATTTACCCTAAGAATGCAGCAGCCCAGTTTGAAAAAGACAGATGCACCCCTGTGTTTATCGCAGCACTATTTACAATAGCCAAAAAATGGAAGCAACCTAAGTGTCCATCAGTAGATGAATGGATAAAGAAGATGTGGTACATATACACAATGGAATATTATTCAGCCATAAGAAGAAAACAAATCCTACCATTTGCAACAACATGGATGGAGCTAGAGGATATTATGCTCAGTGAAATATGCCAGGCAGAGAAAGACAAGTACCAAATGATTTCACTCATCTGTGGAGTATAAGAACAAAGAAAAAACTGAAGGAACAAAACAGCAGCAGAATCACAGAACCCAAGAATGGACTAACAGGAACCAAAGGGAAAGGGACCTGGGAGGATGGGTGGGAAGGAAGGGATAATGGGGGGTCATAAAGAGGGCATTACGATTAGCATGCATAATTTGGGGGGGCACGGGGAAGGCTGTAGAGCACAGAGAGGACAGGTAGTGATTCTACAGCATCTTACTACATTGATGGACAGTGACTTCATTTGGGTATGTGGGGGGAACTTGGTGATGGGGGAGTCTAGTAAACATTATGTTCTACATGTAATTGTAGATTAATGATACCAAAAAAAAAAAAAGACATATGCACCCCTATGTTCATCGCAGTACTTTTTACAATAGCCAAGAAATGGAAGCAACCTAAGTGTTCATCAGTAGATGAATGGATAAAGAAGATGTGGTACATATACACAATGGAATACTATTCAGCCATAAGAAAGAAACAAATCTTACTATTTGTAACAACATGGATGGAGCTGGAGGGTATTATGCTCAGTGAAATAAGCCAGCCAGAGAAAGACAAATGCCAAATGATTTCTCTCATTTGTGGAGTATAACAATGAAGCAAAACTGAAGGAACAAAATGGCAGCAGACTCAGAGACTCTAAGAATGAACTAGTGGTTATCAAAGGGGAGGGGTGTGGGAGGGCGGTGGGGAGGGAGGGAGAAGGGGTTTGAGGGGTATTATATTTAGTACACACGGTGTGGTCAGGATCACGGGGAGAACAGTGTAGCACAGAGAAAGCATATAGTGAATCTGTGGCACCTTGCTGCACTGATGGACAGTGACTGAATTGGGGTATGGGTGGGGACTTGATAATATGGGTAAATGTCTACAGCCATACCATCCTGAACACGCTCGATCTCGTCTGATCTCAGAATATGGGTAAATGTAGTAACTACATTGTTTTTTCATGTGAAACCTTCATAAGAGTGTATATCAATCATACCTTAATAAAAATAAAAAAAAAAGAACTGGACAGAAACATAAACTACAAGAGCATCAAAACTTTCATGTAACAAATGTATGTTTTGTACCCACTGTTAAGTCATGCTCAAAAGCTGAGCCTGGTTGCCTTTATTGTCAGTTAAATTGATCACAGGTATACCTTGAACTCTTAAGGGTGTTGAGCCTGGAGGTATGGGATTTAAGGTGAGGGATATGATGGAAGAAGGGCTAAGAATAAGAATGCTTTAGCAGCTTATACTTTAGCTGGTAAGAAAGGATAATTTTATCTGTGGAGGAGCCAGATGGTTGCCTCCATGGGCAGATTAAATATACTCTCAAAGACCATCTATCTCTGTATTTTTCACAGACTATCCCACCTTAAATGTAGGTGAGATACAGTATACCCAAACTCTCCCATCCCCTAAGACCTTTTGTGATGAGTTTTGTCACTCTTCTCATCAAGAGGTCAAGTCTATTTTTCCTACTCTTGAATCTGTGCTGGCCTATACTTGCTTTGACCAACAGAATATGGCAGAAAGGACACTGTAAGAGGAAGTGCTCTTGTAGTTCTCAGCACACTGCCATGAGCCAGCCATGCTGCGAGAGAAACCAAGCCAGTCCCGCAGGGGGGCCAAGTGGGTGAGAGCCCAGGGGCCCCAGCCAAAGCCCAGCTGGGCCCAGTCCCCAGCTGATTTGCCCCCTGAATGTAGCCACATGAGTAACTGCAGCAGAACTGCCCAGTCAACCCATACAATTGTAAGAAATAGTAAACTGAGGTTGTTTAAAGCCCCTAAGTTTGGGAGTTTATTTTTTATTTTTTTAATGTAACCATAGAATACTGAAATAGTAGGCATGCTTCAAGTTCTTTTCTCTCCTTATTCTCTCTTTTCATGATCTCATTAATCACAATTTCAGTATCTCTATTTTAAGAACATTCAAATCTCTGGCTGGCTCTAACTTGCCTTCTACATTTCAGACTCTTATCTTGAAATGCCAGCACAATGCCTCCAACTTCAGTCTTCTTCTGCCTCATAATTTTAACATATCCCAAACTGAAATCAGAATCCCCTCAAAGATGCAATCACTCAGCTTTCCCAATTTTTGGTATCGCCACCATCCTCTAGGCATTCAGGCTCCAAAATGGCCCCACTATACAATTACTCTGAGTCCAGCTGATTCTTCCACCAAAATGCCTCTTCCAGTCATTGCTTCCTTTTATTCCCTTATTACCATTTACATTCACTATTACAATAGTTTTCTGTGCAGTATTCCTGCCTCACCTCCCACTATATCATGATTGGATTACTATTTCCTAAAGCACAACTTGGACTATATTCAACAATATCCCCCACCAAAACGCGGCTTTCAATTGCTCCTCTTTGAACTAATTAAAACCCCCCACTATCTGATCTTTACTGTGTTTTGCTGGTATTTTTTGGTTTGTCACTCCATAAACATATCAGCATGCCATTACTTTCCAGGCATAATGCCAACACAAGAATAAAAGACACAGTCCCTACCTCCAAGAAAGCCACGATCTTCCCAAATTCCTCACGTCACTGTCACTCTGACTGCTCAGTTTTTCCCCACTCACCTTGTACTTTAGGGCCTGGGCAGCCCTTCTAACAGGATTGATTTCCCAAGACCCAGCCCAACTGCCACCCCCAAATCTAATGCACAGAGAAAATTCTTCTGTCCACTAAGTCATTCAGGTGGAGGTAGGGTGTTCCCACGTAAAAGTGAGCCCAAAGCTGCCACACGCCCTCTCCATGTCGTATACAGATCACACCAACCACCACTACCACCACCACCACTGCTCCTGGATGCCAGAGGTTATCTCTGCGTAACCGCCCCGAGCCGGGCACGTACCTGGTATTGAACACACACCGTGGACTCTTGGTGAGTGCACGTGTATGTACAGGATACGCCGGTAGCCAAGACGCTCTGGGGGGCCCAGAACGTACCTTACCGAGATTGCACCCCAGCACTTCAGCGCACAGCACACAGCGGGCAGTCGGTAAGTGCGTGTCTAATAGCTGGTTAATGGACCAAAATTCAAGGAACCTACACAACAAACTCGTGGCCGATATCGTGAAAGGCTCCCCCCGGGGTGCGGAGGCCCAGATCTCGCGGGGCGGAAAGGTCTCACGGGCGCCTCCTGCACCCGGCCGGGGAGCCCAGGGCTGCTTCCCCCGCCGCACCAGCGGCCTAGGCGCGGCGTCCAGTCGGCTCTGCGCCTCTCTAGGAAGGCGGCTGCACGTCTCTCTGGTGCCCCGGGCGGACCCCCACCGCCCCTTCGACGCCCAACCGCTTTCCTCATTTGTGCAACCCATTTCAATTAAAAATCAACAAGGTGGTAAAGGCAAAACTGAGCCTCTGTCTTCAGGGTCCTCACAGGCTGCTGCAGGACAGAGATGAATTAAAAAAATTGTAATACAGAAAGCAGCACAAATTAATTTTTAAAATTTAAATATACATATTATGTATGAACTATACATACTCATTGCATAGAGACTATAGAATGAAAAATGTCTGACTCCCCAGTTAACTATTTTCAGTATTTTGTGTATTTCTTCCCTGGGATATCACCAGCCCCATCGTAGCACTCAATAAATTTGTTTAGTGACTGGGTGTCTATATATGTTAAAACACTTAAGTGATCACAATATAGTTTTGCACCTTAAGCTTTTTCTGTTAAGATATCTTGCAGAGATTTCCCTATCTGCTTACATTTTTGACAGCTGAATAATATTCCATTATATGGGCATATCATCATTTACTAACTATCCCTATTGTTTTCTTTTTTTCTTCATAAGTAGTGCTGCACAGAACACCATTGAACATATTTATGTCCTTTTATAATTCTAGAGTAAATATGACACACTGGACTTGATCTGTCAAAGAGCATGTGCATTTAAAATTTTTATATACAGCTCCATTTAATTTTAAGGGCACTGCTGTAAAGGGAAAATCCAATAGAAAAATTTCAGAAAAATGTGAACATGGCTGTTTATAAAATTAGAATTACAAATGATTGAATAACATGTGGAAAGATGTTTGATAGTAAAAATATACTGAAAAACCCTTTAAAAAGCAGACCCATTTTGTATGTACCCGATTGTCAAATACTCAAATTAATAATTCCCAAGTTTGAAATGGGTGTGGAAAAATGGTCCTTTCCACATACTGCTAAAAGGGTACACAGATTCGTATAACCTCTCTGGGGAGCAATCTTGAAAATCCATCAAAAGTCTTAGAAAATATATCTCCTCTTTGTCTCATCTATTCTAGTTACGGGAATTAAGTTAAGGAAAATAATTCTACAAATGAGAAAAGTTGTATATACAAGGATGTTTACTGAGGTATTGTTTATGATGACAGAACTATAGGTAACATAAATGATTGGCAGTGGAAACATATTTCATAGAATACTGTGCAACATATATTAAAAATTATCTTCCATGATGTGGAAGATAATCAGGGTGTTTTTGTTGTTGTTGTTTGAAAAGTTTGGAAGCTCAGTCAAACTAAGTTTAAAAAAGTCTTTATTGGAAACATAACATTCCCATGGACTCCCAAAACCAGCAGTAGGTGGACCTCAGAAGCTGAAGGCTGAAGATGTTTCTTCTGAATCTTTCTGAGCCTTCATGGGACACCCCTCTCCTGCCAACACATTCTGGAGTTGGCTGCGTTCTTTTGCTTCTCACTGGGCTAGCTTATATCTATTTGGTTCTTATGTGACAACAGAAACGGTGTCAGTTCTATATTACTTTCTAGTTCAAATGCCTAACAGAGACCAATCAGAATCTGTGATTCAGTATCAAACTAGATGTATCTAAATGGCGAAGCCTGGTTTAGGGGTCTCTTCCTGGTCTAAATCTCAGTGGTCAGAGAAGGGTCACATGACAGGTTACCCACTCAGGATTATGGCAGAACTGGACTAGGAACCAGCAAATTTGTCCTGTTACAAATGAAAACTGTTCATGATATAATTAAAGTCCAGTAAAAAAAAAACCAAAATGTTTCTATGCATAAAAAAAGATCAGTATCTCAAAAGTAAAGGACACCATCAGCAGAACAAAAAGGCATCCTACAGTATGGGAGAATATATTTGTAAATGACATATCTGACAAGGGATTAACCTCCAAAATATATAAAGAACTCATATGCCTCAACACCCAAAAAGCAAATAACCCTATTAAAAAATGGACAGAGGATATGAACAGACAATTCTCCAAAGATGAAATTCAGATGACCAACAGGCACATGAAAACATGCTTCACATCCCTAATTTTCAGGGAAATGCAAATTAAAACCACAATGAGATATCATCTCACACCAGTTAGGATGGCCAACATAGAAAAGAATAGGAACAACAAATTGCTGGTAAGGATGCAGAGAAAGGGGAACCCTCCTACCCTGCTGGTGGGAATGTTCAACCATTGTGGAAAGCAGTATGGAGGTTCCTCAAAAAACTCAAAACAGAAATACCATTTGACCCAGGAATTCCACTCATAGGAATTTACTCTAAGAATGCAGTTTCCTAGTCCCAAAAATGACATATGCACCTCTGCTTATCGCAGTACTATTTTCAGCAGCCAAGAAATGGAAGCAACCTAAGTGTCCATCAGTAGATGATTGGATGAAGAGGATGTGGTACATATACACAATGGAATATTATTCAGCCATAAGAAGAAAACAAATCCTACCATTTGCAACAACATGGATGGAGCTAGAGGGTATTATGCTCAGTGAAATAAGCCAGGCAGAGAAAGACAAGTACCAAATGATTTCACCATCTGTAGAGTATAAGAACAAAGAAAAAACTGAAGGAGCAAAACAGCAGCAGACTCACAGAACCCAAGAATGGATTAACAGCTGCCAAAGGGAAAGGGACTGAGGTGGGGGAATGGGAGGGGGAGGGAAGGGAGGGAGAAGGGGAATAAGGGGCTTTACGATTAGCACACATAATGTAGTGGGGGGAGCGGCAAGGCGAAGGCAATATAGCAGAGAGAAGACAAGCAGTGATTCCGGTATGTGATGGGGACTTGATAATGGGGGGAAACTAGTAACCACAATGTTGCTCATGTAATTGTATATTAATGGTACCAAAAAAAAAAGAAAAAAGATCAGTATCTGAAAATATATTATTAAGTGGTTATATCTGGACCATGAGACAAGATTTATTTCTTGTTTTTCAAGGTTTTCACCATATATATGAACTTCTATAATAGACAATATGAGTTAATAAGAATTTATGGAGATATTTTAACATGGACAATTATGTTAAAAATAGAGAATACAAAAAAAAACAAATAGAATACAAAATTATCAATACCAACTTATCATAATTGTTAAAGTTAATAAAGCAGTGATTTTTTTATAAGTGAAAATTAGAGTGGTTTTTTTACTTTCCAAGTTTTCCATACTGTTTTTATAATGACAAGCTATATAACTTTATCATTTTTTATGAGAATGAGCAGGAAATGGGGACACAGATGCCTCATTCCATTCTGTATCTGGGTGTTACAGGACACCACCCAAATAGAAATGGCTGATCAGCAGGAAGTTCATTCTTCCTGGGTTCTTTCCCTCTGAATGGATTTTTTTTCTTGACCAAAACATTTTAATTTACAACTTTAATATACAATATGAAGTTATTAATTTCTTGAGATTCTCACTTGGCTCCGCTTATAAAGAGTTTAAAAATATGAAACGCTTCACGAATTTGTGTGTCATTCTTGTGCAGGGGCCATGCTAATCTTCTCTGTATCATTCTGATTTTAGTATATGTGCTGCCGAAGCAAGCACCTCTGAATGGATTTTTAACTTAACTACCAGAGTGCCTAGAAGGTTTTACACTGCAAACAAAGCTTAATCAAGATGTTATAACATTTGTTCTATGTTTGATGCATTCGTTTCAAGAATAAGGAAAACATATTAAAATATACTTCCATTCAGTATTTATGCCCAGGTGGTTATAAATTTGCCCCCAGGGTACTGATGAGAATCCTATTTTCTTTGGAACTGTAAGGAAGAATTAGGTTGCTTAAGGTGTCAATGAATTTAGAATGCTTATAATACATGTACTATAGAATCATTATGAAGAAAACCAAAGTAAAATTTCCAGATATGTAAGAGTATATAACTCTTCATACTCTGAATCTTTTCATTGTCATTGCTTGTTAATGAGAAAAATAAAGATATTCGATGTCTCTTTCTTAAACTGAACAGAATCAAACAGATTTAAACTATGACACAGAGCTGAATGTTTAGGTACTGATCTCAGCAGTCCTCAAAACACTTGAAGGAAAACCTCTGATTATCAACTTAATTTACTCATATAAGCAAGATATAGCTGCTTCTCCTACAGATCAGGTCCTCCTCCGAAAACGGTATTAGCTGTTGCTTCTGGTAAGCATGCAGCCAGAAAGGAGTGGGAAGAGCAAGTAGGCCTATTCTAGCCTTCATTCTCCCCTTCATTTTTAGTGACAGAAGCCTGATTTTCAGCTGGGCCCTCTGCAACCCAGAGTAAGACACTTTCTAGCCTCCCTGCCCTAGGTTTTGAACTCTGACATATGTGCTGAAGTGATTTATAGGAAGACTGCTCAAAGGGAGCTGACTGAACTGGAAAGTCTTTTGGTCCTTCTGTATTTCGTCCTTATTTTGCATATGGTGAATGGAGCTTCAGCAGTTGTTGAGGATCATATGACTTAAGGACTACTGGCATGAAGTAGAAAGGTGGAGCAGAAAGGCAGAGGCCATGGTCCCTGGTGATGTCATGGAAACACCTTACCAGTCCTGAACAGCTTATCTGGTCTTTTCAATTTGAGAGGAAAACCAATTTTTATGAAGTTACTACTACATTGTTAAAAATTTATATGCAGCTGAATCAAATCTTCAGCAATACATGAGGGTGTACCTATCTTCCCACACCCAGGGCAGTCTTTTCCAGACAGCAGTACCCTAAGTAGTTATTACCAATCAGTTAGTGATGGTTTAGAAATAGACTTCCCTGGGCTTAATATTCATCATTACTGTGACATTTTGGTGTTCAGTTTAAAGATTATAATCTCTTCCAAGCTGACTGTGACTTTCAAAGAATTCCAGAACAAGCAACATTTTAAAAGTGCATCGTAATATTAAAGGAAAAAAGACCAATTTCTTTCCCCATTTATTAGATAGTGTCTATGCAGCAGGTACTACAGTGGCACTGGTGTTGGCAAGTCAGACAATTGCTACCTGGATTAATTCAGCACTGTTCATTCAAATGACTTAGGAAATCTCTTCCATAGTCTAAATAGAACCTTGATCTCTAACTTGAATCAATCAAGTATTGTGGCAAGGATGGAGGTGGGAATTGATAAAATTAGATTATCTTTGCATTCCAAAGTGCTTCTGTTGATTGGGAGTGGGGGAAATGCCAGCATGGGTTGGTTAGTAAAGCCAGAGGGGGAAAGTGTTCACCATTAACCTGAACTTTAAGAGACTTCTGAATGTGGTATTTGTTCAAACATTGTTAGTTTTATTTTATAGAGTTTTGCTGTAGTGTATGCAAAAATTTCAACCTGCTCTTGTTCTGTTTAAGCCTGTAAATCTGTGGATACTGATTGGCTGCTGACTTCAAAGACATAGTTCAATCTTGAGGCTCTCTACTACTTGGAAATGGATAATCATGCATTTACCATGTTAAAGGCCCAGAGAAGTCCCACAATAAAGAATGCTATTTAACTCTAATTCCACAGTACTATCTAGGGTCAAATTATTGTTGCCCAAAGTTGACTTCAAGGAAACTAAAGGTAGACAGCGGAAGCACATAGCCTCCACTTTGGCCTCCAAGAGTTCTCTGATGCCAGAATCAACTAGAGTGATGTTTTCTAAAGTGCTGTTTGCTTGTCAATATACGGTCTTTGATGTTTACAAAACATCAGAAAAGGCCACCTCAAGACAGCTTGTCTTTGTGGTGATATCTCTGATGCTGAAAAAGACCTGACCTCTGCCTGAAGGCTTCTCCACATTCATTACACTCATAAGGTTTTTCTTCAGTGTGGATTCTCACATGTTGAGCAAGATGTGAATTTAGTCGGAAGGCTTTCTGGCATATATTACACTTGAAAGGTTTTTCTCCAGTGTGAATCCTGTGATGTCGAATAAGGTCTGAGGTCAAACTGAAGGCTTTCCCACACTCGTTACACTGATGGCTTTTGGAATGACCATGGATTCTCTGATTGTGGGTGAGGAAAAGGGCCTGACTAAAGGTTTTTCCACACTCCTTGCACTCACAGGGCTCCTCCTGACTGTGTATCCTCTGGTGCCGATTAAGGTGAGAGCTGCGCCTAAAGTTCTTTCCACAGTGGATACACAGATAAGGTTTCTCTCCAGTATGGATTCTGAGATGTTCCAAAAGGCCTGCATTCTGGCTAAAGACTTTTCCACACTCCTTGCATTGATAAAGCTTCTCACCAAGATGGATTTTCTGATGTCTGACAAGGTGTGAACTTCTCTGAAAGGCTTTCCCACACTCATGACACTGATGACCTTTCTCTCTAGAGTAAATTTTCTGATGTCCAATGAGACTAGAACTCTGATACACTTCAGATTTACCAAACTTTTCTCCTGTATGCGTACTTTCATGTTTAATCAGGTCTGAGTGCTGGATGAATCCCTCCCCACATTTTGAGCATTTATAGTCAGTCTTCGCCTGGGGCTTGGCCTGCTGCCTTTCCAAGTTAGAGTCCTTAGAATGAACATCTGTGGGTTCGGATATTTTCTGAGATGACTCCACTCCTCCACAAGAGTCTGTCTCTACAACCAGCTTCCCATTCTCAATCCTTGTCTCCTCACCTGAAACATTAAAAATATATCACCAATTACTTGTTTTTTGGTGCTTAGAGAAAGGAACCTACAATTTGAGAAAAATTTTAAATCAAGCCATGTGTGCAAAGTAGAAATGCTCTGGATGCTGTATGCACAGAATATATACAGAATGATACATGAGAAAATTTTAATAGTGCCTCCCTTTGAGGAAGGATGTGGAACTCTGGAGGGAGGTGATTTGTTTTAAATAGTTTGAATATTTATCATGTGATACAAACACACACACACACACACACACACACACACACACAAAGTTAGCCAGCAAGCAAACTGTCTTAAAGGCATGACTATATTCTCCTGAAGATGGTTTGTCATATGGAAAACAAAAAATCTAGGCCAGCTGAGGACCCTGAGGCCAGTAGGAAAGGGCTAGTACTGGAATTGAAGAAATGAACTGGAAATGAAGAATTGTAGACATGGTGCCAATTTTATCAATGATTAGCTGTGTAGTCTTAGGCAATTTAAACCCTCTGGGCTCAGGTTTCACCAGTCAATTAAAAACAGTGGACTATAAGACCTTTAGTGGAACATGGGAGTTCACAAAAATGTCTTAGCCATTCCTCACCCCCTTAAACAGCAGTAACTGCTTTCCTGGGTGGTTCAACAGAGATATTATATCTCAGTGCTGTAATAATTTGTTCATATGTCTGGTACATAAGAGATAGTAAACAATGTTTGCCAAATAAAACCTAAGCTCAGATATACAGACAAAAGGATGAAAGAGATGTGCAGATAAGGATACGTTTTTTAAGGCCAGGAGCATGAATGGGGATGCAAAGTCAGAATGACAGAGTAAAATGGGAGGTGGACAGAGAAAATAGAAAAATCCTAAGCAGCACTAATAACAAACAATGAGGATTAATAGGAGTGAAAAGATAAAGACAGCTGACTATACAAACAGAGTAAATAAGAGCCAAAAGTAAAAGTGAAAGTGAAGACTGGTAAGGAGACATTAGAGGAAGTAAGTCTTGTATGTGGGGATTGGTGAGAAGATTAAACAGGGTAAACAATGCACCGCTGTAGTGTTTTGCAAGAGAGTGAAGTAGCCTACTTGTGGGAATGGGATGGGGTGAGAGTTAAGGGATGAGAATAGGAGAGATTCTTTTCCAACAATGATATGACATAAATGACTTAAATTGTATATGTGTGCGGGGGTGGAGTATGAAACCAAAAAATGACCTCAACTTTGAATATAAAATAGCATTGTCAATAGATCCAGATGGTAAGGAACACTTTCCAGTATCTATTATCACTACATTTTTCAAATTTAAAATAGATACCCATCATTGATTACATGGCATAAATTCATTTCTGCACGGCTACTCATAAAAGTCAGGCCCTTCTATTTCAGCTATTCAACTCAGAAAGCTTCCAGAAGGGGATTTCTGAAGCAGACGCAGAAATTGAATCGGTTAATTAGCTGATAAGTAAAAGAAGGCTTTAGAATAAAAATCAGCCATTCATCAAATAGACATTTTTTGATGGTCTATTCTATGCTAGGGACTGTAGCCAACTTAGGAAGCCCCTGCCCTTAGTCTGACAGGAACAAAACAGAAGTAAACCAGCAACTATAATACAATGTGATTAGTTCTACGATAGGAGAAATCTTGGAGCTCAAGGAGCTTAGGTGGGGAAACTAACACACATTTGGAGAATTTAGGGAGGGATAGAGGAAATGGTATATAAGACAGGTCCTAAGGGATGCGTAGGAATTAGGGAAAGGGGGGAAGAAGTACTCCAGACAGAAGAAACAAGGCAGCAGAGACTCAGAAGAGAGAAACAGCAAGGAGCAAATGGGAAATGGAATACTGGTCGGCATGAGAACCCAGTGTGAGAACCTAGGGGGGCTAACTGCCCTAATTTGGGAATGAGGGGTTTCCAGGATGTGCAATTGTCAGTGCTGAAGTCCAAGACAAACTGGAATAAATTGATTATGCTAGTGGACATGAACCTGAAAGGTCAGCAGGTACCAGAACATGCCATGGGAGGCCTTTGTTAATGGCTACTGGAAGTCACTGAAGGTGATGATTTTTTTCTTATTTTTATTATGAAATTTTTCAAACATCAAACAAACAAACAAAAATAGAAAGAATAGCATTACCCAGCTCACTTACTCATTTTAAGGAGGGGAGTAACACTAATGGATTTGTGCTTAAATGCTGGAGAATGAATAAGAGGCAACAACTTTAATGAAAGCACCAAGATGACACTAAGAAAAGAGAAGCAGGCTTGTAAGAGAGGAAAAGAAAAATGTAAGGGACAGAAACTAGAAAGGGCATTTCAGTGATAAAGAAAATACAGTAGAGTAAAAAAAGAAAAAAATCTTGGTGATATTTAGAAAACACTCTTAATACAGTAATTTGAAGGAGGCAGGAAAAAAATGAGTAATGAAGCATGTGCCTTGGGGTGGGGGGCAGGGGGCAGAAACTAGCTCTCCTTTTTTAATTCACCCCTACAGTAAAAGGAGAAGAGGATGGTGAAGGTCCAGACAGGAGAGGGCTTTAGGTTTAGGTGAACAAAATCACCAAGGATCGGTACAGGGAAATGTTTGGGGTAATGGAAATGTTTTATAGCTTGATGGTGGTAGTGATTAGAAGACATCTGTGAAAACTTTCACATTTGTGAAAACTCACTGACTTACTCATTCTCTTAGAAAGAATGAATTTTACTATGTTAGTTATACCTCAATAAACCTGACTGAAAACAAAAACAAAAACAAAAATGCCAAGGGTACTAAGCCTCAGGAAGGACTACAGAGCCCACCACATATCACATGGAAGAAGATGTAGTCTATTTCTCACCCGTCTCTTTGCCAGGCTTTGGAACATCACACTTAGGTTGGACCTGCTGTTCCTGCTCTGCTTTCAGAGGGACTATCTCCTCCACATGCATTTTCTGTTTCTTTGCCTGGTCTAGGTCCTAGGGATAATTAAGTATATGTGGGTTTAGGAGGAAACTGCTGTTCTGGAAAACACTTCAATGTTAGAGAATGAAGACAAATCCCAGGGGGGCAGAGAGACTGGGGAACTGAGCACATTCATTTTCCTCCCAGCAGATAACAGGTAGGGCTGAGGTAAGGCCCACAGCAATGAATATTCAGACTGGAAAAAACTTTGAACCAAAGCTTAGCAGATCTCCTCCCACAGCTGAGCTCATGTTCTCCTCTCCAGCCAGAGGTTTCAATTCCCACTTTCCTGAGAAAGAGCACATCTGACCCTTACCATGTGTTGTCCTGTTTCTCTAAGATTCGGCTGCAAATCCTCCAAGACAATAACCATGTCCTCCCCGCTCTTTGGGTGATGCTCCTGTACTTGGGCCTGGAGCTCCTCAGGCAGGATAGTCAGGAACTGGTCCAGCACTAGCAGCTCCAGGATCTGCTCCTTGGTGTGAGTCTCTGGCCTCAGCCACAGTCGGCAAAGTTCCCGGAGACGGCTCAGCGCCTCTCGAGGTCCTGTGGTCTCTTCATAGCGCAACTGCCTGAATTGTTTGGACAATGGCTCCTGCCCTAGGCACCTGTTTCCATGCTGTTTGAATCCCTGTTCCTGAGTAAAACAGTGATCCTCCTTCACCAACAGAAGCCCCTTCTTCTTCAGATTCAGTGGAGCTGGGAAATGAGCACTCACCAATGCTGTCGCCATCCCTAGTTTCAGACTGTTCTCTGTTCTGGAGAACTTCCTTTTGACTGTCTCCTCATGAATATTCCTGAATATGTAATAACAAGAATCACAGAAACCACAAGAGCAGTAGTTAACAATAATAACAATGGCAATACCCCTCTGTTGGTTTATACATTTTCAGTAATTATTATCCATTTTATTCTCTCTGAACCATTCTTAAAAAAGGAACATAAATGGGTGAAGCCACTGGGTGAGTTGAAAAGAGTGAAGGAAAAGGACATTATCACAGTCTCAAAGAATCACCATGCTAAGGGCTTATTAATTAAAATGGGAAAAATGGAGATCTGGCATTCATAAGCTTAATCAAATGATCAAACCCAGCAACACCAACAGTAAGACAACTGACCTATGCCTTACCGCTTACGTAGCATTTTTACTAAAAATGTTTAACATGAGTCTAATAATGAGAAAACTTTCAGATAAATCTGGAATGCAGCTTATTTACAACAGACATGGATTCTTCAAAACAATCACTTTCACAAAAATAAAAAGAGTGTGTGGGCAAGGTATTGTTCTGGATCAAAGAGACAACTACATGCATTGCATGAAATTGGCTCTTGCATTAAAAAAAAGCTATAACTATTTTTTGAAGAATTCAGAAATGTGAATATAAATGATTTGCATATAGGCAAATTAGGCCCAGGAGATCAAATAGAGCCTGAAGCCTTTTTTTGTACATAAAGCTTTACTGGAATACTGCTATGCCCATGTGTTTATAGAGATTGTTTACATCTGCTTTTGCACCACAAGGAAGAGTTGAGTAGTTGCCACAGAGACCATGTCACCTGCAAAGCTGAAAACATTTACTTTCTGGCCCTTTACAGAAAAAGTCTGTCATCTCTGACAGAGAATTTTCTCAGGTGAGATAAGAGTTTTATGGTCATGTAAAAGAATATCCTTATTCTCAGGAGATGGTGCTAAAACTTACTTTCAAATGTTTCAAGTGGGTAAAATGTGGGTGTGGGTGTGGGTGTACAGAGTGCACAATGTAGCAGGAAATTCACAACTTGATATGAGGGATATATAGTTTTAATGTACTATTCAAGTTTTTTGTAGATTGAAAATTCTCAAAATGTTGGGGGATGGGGGAAGACACAAAATAAATATATCTGCTTATACGTTCACTAAAGCTAATACCAGAATTAACTAAAAGAATATAAGGATATTCATAACTCCTCTCATTTACTGATTGTCTACTGTGTGACAGACTCTCTTAGTTGCTGGAGTTATAGACATAAAAGACAACTCCCTGGCCTCTACAGCTCTCTGCTTCTCCAGAAACTTAAGTGAAAAAGAAATTATAGTTCAGTGCATTAAGTGCCATGATGATGGTATGCACAGGATGCTAGCAGAGCAAAATGGTAAGACATCTAATTCCCAGTAGCAGTTAGAAAAGTGTTCCCAGAGATTAATCCTTCTGAGTCTTAAAAGACAAGTCAATGTCAGGCAAGAAAATAGGGAAAGGGGTTTTCAGACAGATAAGTGTGAGCATAGAGCTGTTGGAAAGCCTAGTGCATCCAGAGTAGCAGTTAGGTAGGTAGAGGAAAAGACTGTGGGGTTGGAACCCTGCGAAAGACCTACTTATAAGGAAGAGAGATGAGAAGGAACAGATGGAGAGGTAAGTGAACAAAGTGGTATCCAGAAGGCCAAGATCTATTTCTCCAAGTGTAGAGTGGTGAAAAGAGCTTGGGCCTGGAACAGGTCTGGCTTCCAATCCAGCACTGTCACTTATAGCGTGATCTGGGACAAGTTACTTATCCTTTTGGAGCCTTAATTTACTCATTTGTAAAATGAAGATAATACCTAATCCATAGAGATGTTTTGAGATAAATACTTGTAAAGAATAGTAATTCATGTATAACTGGAATTATGAAGAGATGGTGCTCAAGAATAAGAAATGCTGTAGGAAGGTGGATTAATGTAAGACCTGACATATATACTTAATTAGTAAACACATAGGTCATCTGTGAAGGAAGTTCTGGTAGGCAATAGGGAGAAGAGACAGCTTGACAAAGGAAAATGAGAAAATGGTAAGAGTGAATGAAAACTACTCTTCAAAAAATAAAATTAAATGGAAAAAAAGACAGAAGCTAGGAAAGGGTAATGGAGAAGACAGGTATGTTTGTGACTTTAATTAGTATCTTTATGCCAATGATTTTCTTATTTTCTAGCCCAGATATCTCAACAGTGCCAGATCTTTATTTTTGGCTATCTGGTACCTGGATACCTTACCAAGGCCCCTCAAACCCAACATGTCAAAATGAACTCGGAGAATTCCACTTTAATCCTTTGGAGCAGGCCTTTGGTATGTGGGGACTTAGCGTTCTTGATTTTGACTACTCTTGAGTGACTATATAGATCAGTGACAAAGCATCAGCCAACTGTTGATACACACCTTTGAATCAACATGCATGGTTGAGGGGCAAGGCTCGCTCAATTAGTGGCTGTGCCTGGCTGGGCTCCAAATACAGCTTGCTATTATATACTCCTGGATGTATACATATTAACACTTCCAGTTGATAAGTATTTTTCTTTGTCAAAAATGAACTTACCGGGATGTAATGTATAGCATAAGGAATATAGTCAAAATATTGTAACAACTTTGTATGGTTATAGCTGGTAGCTAGAATTATCATGTATATAAATGTTGAATCACTGTGTTGTACACCTGAAACTAATGTAATACTGTGTGTCAACTACCCTTCAATAAAAAATAATAATCTAC